CACACACACGGGGAATACAGGACAGGGTATGGGAAAGGATCAGAGATCTCAGCCCATTTGATGTTTTAAAGGCCTTGTCGACTGGATTTCTCATTATGAAGAATGACAGGATTGACCAATTCTCTTGAGGGGAAAGGAGTAGTGATGCCTTGGGGGAGATGGGGAAAGAAAGACCAGACCGTTTAAGAACAAGAAAGCTGAGATTCTGAGCATGGCCTCAAGGAGAAAGAAACTACCCCAGCTTGGGACCGCAAGTGCATCTGGGCCTTTAAGGGGGGACGGGGAGCCCAGAATAGGTATGAAGGAGGCCCTAGAGTCCACATTGGTGCCAAGGGATTCTGGAGCCAGGAGGGCATCAGGAATGGCTGGGGAGTTCCATCCTAACCCTGGGCTCCTGGGGAAGGGACTGGGAATGGAGAAGAGCCAGGTGTCCTTTGGCAGCTCTGGCCTCCTCATGCTGATCACACAGAGCTGTGGTTTCAATGAAGCAGGGGATGAAGCAGGGTGTGGATGTTCTCTGAGAACAATGAGAGGTGTTTTTCTACGACAGCCCTAGGCTGGAGTGAGGCCCACCCCTTCTAATATTTTCTCCAGAGACATCATGCTCAAGCTAGAACTGGTTATGGCATCCACTCAAGAAGAAAACAAGAACAAAGCCTCCTCTTAGGATAAAGACTCAAGTCCTGGTCCCTGACCATATCTTACCCACGTGTCACATCTTTCTTCACAATACCTGGGCCTCTGCCCTTTGTTGTCGCAGACCCCCCAAAAAATCCTCCCACATCCATCCACGTGTGTGTGTGTGTGTGTGTGTGTGTGTGTGTGTATGTATGTATGTATATATATATATATATATATATATATATATATATATATATATATATATATATTCTGTGTGATGATTTGGTTGTTTGCCTTACTTTTCTGTGTAAAACTCCTTAAGGATACATGTCCAAGTGTTTGCACAGAGAATGCCCAGGCCACAAAACATATTTTCTTCTTCACCCCTTTAAGAGAGGGTCTGGACAAGCAGTGGTGGCACACGCCTTTAATCCCAGCACTTGGGAGGCAGAGGCAGGCGGATCTCTATGAGTCTGAGGCCAGCCTGGTCTACAGAGTGAGTTCCAGGACAGCCATGGCTACACAGAGAAACCCTGTCTCAAACAAACAAACAAACAAACAAACAAACACCAGCAAAACAAACAAAAAAGAGAGAGAGGGTATCACTAGTAGATCAGGTTGGCCTTGAACTCACAGAGATCCAACTGCCTTGCCTCCTGAAGACTAAGGTTAAAGGCTGAGTGTGTGTGTGTGTGTGTGTGTGTGTGTGTGTGTGTGTGTGTGTGTTTGTCGGGGTCTCACATCCCAGATTGGCTATGAACCCAGATTGGCCATGTAGTCCTGGATGACCTTGAAGTTCTGATTCTCCTGTATCTAAGCACTGGGGTTGTACATAATTTTTACCGCCACACCTGCTTAAGCAGCCTCCTCCATGCTAGGGTAGCACTCCGCCAACTCACCGACACCCCCAACACCAGCTTGCTTTAGATTTGCAAAATTTGGTACCTGTCACACAAGTCTATTCCCTAATATCTGTCTCTCCCTTCTCTGAGACATACGCGTGCACACACACCCTCCCTGTGTCTGGGAAACATTTCCTAAAATTTGCCATTTTGAAAAACTATTTTGAAAAAACATAAAACATACAAAAAGGCAAAAGAACAAACAATGAAAACCTCCATGCCTTTCACATAGATTTGCTATTTGGTAACATTTGCCACGTGTGTGTGTGTGTGTGTGTGTGTGTGTGTGTGTGTGTGTGTGTGTGTGTGTGTTGAGACAAGCTCTCACATTACACCCCATGCTGCCAGTTCTGCACCCAGGCCAGTTGTCTTGTACCTAATCTATTGTCTACATAGCAACCGGTGGAATTCCTTTGAAACTGCTCAGATCATGTCATGCTGGCTAAAACCCCACAGCTGCTGCCTGTCTCTCCGAGTGAGAGCCCAAATCCAAAAGGCTCTATGTGTTTATACTCTCCAGTCTCCCCACCTCGAGGCCATGGTAAAGAGCCTCTGTGCTGTCCCTTGGCCGTATCAACAAAGTCCCTGTTCCTTTTTTCTAGAGTGTCCTTTACTGATAATTTTACTGCTTGGCCCATCCTATTTTTAATTTTTTCCCCTCTTTTAAAATTTATTTTAAGTAAACGCACATGCATCTGTATGTGTCCATTCCCATGAGTGTTGTGTTCAAGAAGGCCACTACGGGAGATCAGACGCCTGGGTGCTGGAATTATGGGACTTATGGGTTGTGAGCCACAAAAATGGGTCCTAGGAATTGAACTCAGGTCCCTGGAAGAACAGTAAGCACTCTTAACCGCTGAGCAGTTTCTCTAGGCCTATTTTGCTTTTGTTTTGTTTTTCGAGATAGGGTTTCTCTGTGTAGCTTTGGCTGTCCTGGACTCATTTTGTAGACCAGGCTGGCCTTGAACTCACAGCCATCTGCCTGCCTCTGCCTCCCTGAGTGCTGGGATTACAGGCATGCACCACTGCACCCCACAATTTTTTTTTTTTTTAGTCAGGATCTCATTCTATAACCTAACTGCCCTGGAACTTACTGTCTAGTCCAGGCCGACCTTGATCTCACGGCAGTCCTTCTTAGTCTTCTGAGTGCTGACATTATAACTGCAAACCAGGACACCTGGCCTTCTCACTCTTCTCCTTTTCTTCAGTACTAGGGTTTGAACCCAGGGCCTCCCACACGCAAGCCAAGCTGCATACCACTGAGATGCACCCCAGCTCTCTTTGCTTCTTTTGAGTCACCTCTCCATATCACCTTCTCAGTGGGACCATCCCCACAAGCCATGCTAATATCAAGCCTGCCCACCCTGCCCACACCCTTATTCCACTCTACTCCTTAAAAACAAAACAAAACTGTGTTTTTGTCTTTATTTTTAAAGTGAAGCTATGGGATATTTCCTGGGATTCCCAAGCAATCTTCTTGCTTCCTAAGGAGCTGGGACTACAGGTTGTGTCATCATGCCTGGCTTACATATATGTGTAGGTATGTACATATGTATATAAGTGTAATTATAGGTATATATATATATATATATATATATATATATATATATATATACATACATATATTATTTAAAACAGTCTCAAGCTTCCAGAACACTTGTAAATACAACAGTATTGACTTCTTGGCTGGGGGGGAGGGCTAGTTTTCAAGTCAGGGTCTCTCTTTGTAGCCCTGGCTATCCTGAAACTCACTCTATAGACCAGGCTGGCCTCAAACTTAGAGATCCACCTGCCTCTGCCTCCTGAGTGCTGGAACTGAAGGTGTGAGCCACCACCACACCCGGCCTTGTAACTTTTTCTCATGAATCAAATGAAAGTAAGCTTCGGGCTAGATGCCACGGCAGCTTGTGTACCGCAGTGACAATTTCCTGAAGTGAAGAACACGGTCCTGGGCGAGGGGCTGTAGCTCAGTGGCAGCGATGGCCTCGTGCTCTGAACATGTTCAAAGATCACAATTGCTCTGCTGGGCGTTTTTAAGGCTAAGGTGTTTCCCTAGCATTTCACCTCCTTTCAGGGGGTACACAGTTTTCCTGGCTGGCCTCATTTTGCAGTGTAACACAGGATGACCTTGAACTTCTAACCCTCCTCCTCCTCCCAAGCCTTAGGATGTGCTATTACACTTAGTTTGTGTGGTTTGGGGGATTAAATCCAGAACCTCAAGCCTGCTAGGCAAGAGCTCCAACCAACTGAGCTATTGTCCCAGGCTTTAACGCTCTTATTCAAGGCCTCATCAAACATACCCAGTAGGGGCTTCTTCCCTATGGTCCCAAATTCACATAATGAAACTGAGCTCCCCATGCAGTGGTATTTGTAGAGAGGCCTTTGGGAGGTAGTCATTAGCTCCCTTCTAATAAAAAGTGACATAGCCAGGTGCAGTGGCCCATGCCCTTAATTTCAACCTCAGGAGCCAGAGGCAGCAGGAGCTTCATGAATTTGAATCTACATAAAGATTTCTAGGCCAGCGTGAACTACATACTAAGACACTTGTCTCAAAAAACAAACAAAACAAAACAAAAAAAGACAACAACAGAAAAAGGCCAGCTTGGTTTAGGACTGCATAGACATAGAGAGATCCTATTTAAAAAAGAAAGAAAGAAAGAAAAGAAAAGCCAACCTAGTTTAGGACTGCATAGAGAGATCCTATTAAAAAATAAAAAAAAAATAAAAAAAAAAGCCCACAGAGTCGCTCTGCTCCTTTTACGACATTAGACAGTAAGATGTGTCTATGAACCAGAACATGGGCCCTCACCAGACACTACATCATGGGCCTCCTGGCTTCCAGAACTGTCAGAAATGAATGTCTGTTGCTTATAAGGCATTTCATCAGCCTGACAGACAAAGGCATTAGCAGGGAAAATCTATGTGGCAGCATCTGAGCGTGATGACGCACACCTTTCATCCCGGCACTCGGGAGGCCAAAGCAGGTGGATCTCTGAGTTCCAGTCCAGCATGGTCTGCAAAAGCAAGTTCCGGGACAGCCAGGGCCACACAAAGAAACCCTGGGCCCAGCTAGATGGCTCAGCGTGTACAGACACTTGCCTCCAAGCCTGAGGACCTGAGTTCCACCCCCAGAGGCTGGCATGGTAGAGCAGAACTGACCCCCCAAAACTGTTCTCTAACCACACACTCACCCTGGCACATACACACAAAATGAGTAGATGTCATTTTTAAAAATCGGTGACGACCCTGCTAATTGTCCGTGAGTCCCCCCTCAGCTCCTCACACCCGAGGGTGCATCTGTGTGTGTGCTCTGGCATGTGTGTATGAGCTCAGCGGCGGGGCTCTTGTCTCCAGTTCTCGGGCCAGCTTAACTGCTAAGGTGGCTGGCTGGAGGGTCAAACTCTGTGTGGAGTGAGGCTTCCGCCTGGGGACACCCGCATGAGGAAGGAGGAGGGTCGGCATCACTAGCACCAGGTACAAACATTTTATTTTTCTGTAAAGAACAAAGTACAAAGAGGCCGGGGAGGGGAGCCAGCCCCAGAGGGGCAGCAGGCAGGCCCTAGGCCCGGAGATGGCCATGGAGGCCCAGGCAGCTACCCTAGGATTTTACCAGGGCCTCCAGCGTGATGATGGAGAAGGAGCCAAGGGAGGTTGCGCGGAATCCCAAGATGGCCACTGGGGTCACACGAAGCCTGGCTTCATGGAGGAGCGGCGGCAGTTGGGGCAACTCCGAGTACCATTGTTCTGCAGGCACCTGTGGGGCAGACGGCTCCGTCCCTCACCCAGGCCAGGCTTACTCCGGACCCTGGCTTGTGTCTTCCTGGCTCCCCCGGGCTCCTGCTCACTTTCTTGCCCGCCCTGCACCCGAGGCTTCCGGGCTGGGCACAGTGGGCATGTGCTCCCACCCCAGGGCTGACCTGAAGGGGTCTTTCTGAATTCCCCTTGGGATGACGGTAGGAATGAACACCCACGGGGGTTGCCTTCAGTATTGTTAGTGTGACCTGGGGGGTGCTGCCTGCCCAGCGAAGTCCTCACCTGAGATGAAAGATGTGGGAGCAGGGCAGGGCCTGGAGACGGCTGTTCTTCTCCCCGATGGACTCGCCACACAGGCCACAGTAGAGCTCCGTGTCCTCCACACACTCGTGAAACCTCACCACGTGCGTGCGCAGCTCACGCTGCAGCCCTTTGCTGCGGTAGATGCCCTCGCTCAGGCAGTGCAGTTTGAGCTGGCTCAGCTAGGGCGGTGGGGATAGACTCCATGAGGGACTAGAGGAAGGGCAGGGTAGGAAGGTGCTGGTCCCCCCACAGCCCTGCCTTGCTGTGGGAACTGGGGAAAAGACTGTCTGCTCCGAGCCTCGGATTCCCTTTGAACAGAGAGTGGGTGAAGCCAGAGGTGAGAAACACGGGGTCCCATGCTTTTGTTTTGCGATAGGATCTCACAGACATAGCCCGAGCTGGCCTCAAACTCACTGTATAGCCGCGCCTGGCCTAGAACTCCTGATCCTCTGCCTCCAGGTCCCAAGTTCTGGGACAGGTGTGCCCCACCATGCCGTGTTCCTAAATGATTTTATGGACCAAACCTGCTGCTGTGTTGCCCCTCCAATAACTGATTTGCTCTCTTATTTTTATTGGATATACATTTCTGATCAGCCTGATGCCTGGATAAACATGAGTGGCTGTGGTCCAGCCCAAAGCAAATATCCTTCAAGCATCCTAGCTGGGCTCTGCCCCGGGAGCCTACAGAGATGCACGTTTTCTAGAAGACTCTAGGGCACACGAAGCTTTCTCGTGTCTGGATACACCTGAGACATCCGAAGACACTACCCCTACTACAGGCTTTGGCATGAAGACACGCCAGCTGGTGGCTGGGACCTGGACCGTCATCTGTGGAATGAGAAAGCTCACAGCGAAGGCAGCAGCCGGCATTTTTGAAGAGACCCAGCTACCAGGTACCCAGCCCTTGAGGAGTAGAAGACGTTGTCAGGGCTGTTATTTTGGTTTTGTTTTTAAGATTTACGTGTATGTGTAGCATGTGCACGCATACATAGTGCCCACGAAGAGAAGACATCTACCCCACGGAACCGAGAGGCTACCAGGAACCCAGCGATCCTCCAAGCTGTGAAATGCCTGCCTGGCCCCACAACTATTCTCTGGGAGGGAGCTGGAGATCCGGGGGGTTGGGGCGACTGCAAGTACGTTCCAGGGGGCCAGAAGAGCTCAGGGCTCAGGCAGGGTCTCACGTACCCCAAGCTGGCTTCCACTCACTACATAGTCAGGGAGAACCTTGAACTCCAATCCTCCTGTCTCCTCCGCCCAAGTGGTGGGATTACAGTGCGTACCATCATACCCAATTTTCCTCCTTTAGCTCTGGACCCCAGACCCAGGAGATATAATTATGTCTGACCTTATTTCCCACCTCTTCAGCCAGGTCCTGGGCTTTCTCAATGGCATCCAAAGCCTGAAAGGTGAGCAGAGGCCAGAGCTGTGGGCAATTGGACTGCCCTTGGCTCATAGCAAAGAAATGAAAAGTGGGCCTTGGGAGAGAAGCAGGGGTGGAGCCATTGCCCTGTGAGAAGGCAGCAGGAGGGGCTGTGTGAGCAAGTTACATCCTGCCTTAGTTTGTGCAGACACTATGGGCAGAACGTGACTGCCTCGTGGGATGCTCCGCCACAGTAAAAAGGAATTTAAGAAGACCAGGTTTAGAGCCAGCACTCTGGGAAGCAGAGGCGCAGGCGGATCTCTGTGAGTTCAAGGCCAGCCTGGGTCCACAGAGTGAGTTCCAGGACAGCCAAGGCTACACAGAGAAACCCTGTCTCAACAAATAAATAAATGAATGAATGAATGAATGAATGAATGAATGAATGAATAATTAAATAATTAAATAAAAGACGACCGAGTTGAAATGCTAGCTCTGGCCCTTTATAAACTGTGGGTCCCTGGGCAAGGCCTGGGCCTTCTCAGAGTGTGGAGAACTCCTGGGGATGTCTGGGCCTCATGAAAGTCAGATGTTAAATAAAGAGGACACGTCCAGCACAGTTCTCCACCACCACCCCGGGGGTGTTGGCTGAGTAGTCCTAAACTGTGAGCACCAGAGCAAGCTTTAGCCACAGGGAAGGCCTCACCTTGTCCAGCACCTTCCTGGCCATCCAACACTTGGCCACGCCTAGCAGCACGTGCACCTGCCCCAGGCGGTTTCCGATCTCGGTCATGATGCTCATGGCAGAGTCGTACCTAGGGAAGGCTGTCTGCAGAGCCAAGCAGGATTGGAACTGGGGTGTTCCAGACCCAGAGTCCCCCCCACCTCATCCTGGTGACCTCACCTCCAGGTCCCCACGGCTCCGGTGGATATCAGCAAAGCAGAGCAGACAGAGTGCCTGCAGCGGTCGGTCCCCATGCTGCAGAGCGATCTTCATGGACTCCTGCAAAGGAGGCTGGCGGCTCAGGCAAGGTCATGTGATGCTCTTACGGGGTGTCCTATACCCAGAGGTCCCTCGGAAGGGATAGATGGGATCGCCACATCCTCAGAACCTAACACACACTTGTGGTTGGTGAGGCACCTTACACTGAACCACTGTTGTCTGATGGACGGAAACTAGACTCAGGGAGAAGCGCCTTCATCAGGACCAAAGGAAGAAGCAATGCCATTTGAACCCGAGTGAGGGAGCTTCAAGGCTGGGTCTTTCTTCCTTTTCTCTTTTTATCTTGTGTGTGTGTGTGATAGAAATTGTAAGTTTATTAAGAAAAAGATTCTCTTGAGAATGGTGTGGGCTAGAGAGCTGGAACAGCTCTGAGACTCAGAAGCCCACCCATTCCCCACCTTTTTTTTTTTTTTTTTTCTCTTACAAGGGCTCCCAATGAAGTCCAGGCTTGTCTCAAGCTAAGTGATCATACCGCTTGCTTCTGAGTGCTGGGCTTACAGGAAGTGACGCTGTACTTGTCTCTGTTTTATTAATTTTTTTTTTTTGTTCTTTTTTTAAAAGACAGAGTCACATGTAGCCCAGCCAGGCCTTGAACTGTGTAGCTGAGGATGATCTCGAATTTCTGATGCTGCCTCTTCCTTCCAAGTGCTGGGATTATAGGTATGAATCACTAAGCTGGATTTTATGTAGGGCTAAGGATTGAACCCAGGGTTTTGTGCACGTCGGGCAAGCGCTCTGTCAACTGAGCTACGTGCGTAGCTCTTATGTTTTACATAAGGCTGTTCAGAGTGGCCCACAGAGGCTCCTGGGGACAGGGAAGCTCCTTGCCCTGAGGATGAACCAGAAGGGAGTGAGGTCAGTGTATGAACCAGAAGGCAGTTTATGAGAGAAATACACTCTTCAGGTGCTTGTTAGCAAGCCTCTGGGGGGGGTCCTATGGGCTCTTCTAGAAAATAGGGGACCCTGTGTCCTGGGCCTGAGAGCCTCTCCCACCCCCATCACCCATGTGCTTCCCAGGCCATCACACCTCACAACACTCCATGGCGCTGCCCAGGTGACCCAGCAGGCGGTAAGCCACAGCCATGTGGTACTGGCTCATGGCCCGATACTTGAGGCTCCAGCCTTTGCCATAGTCGTTGACAAGCTCTGCAGCCTTGCAGGGAAAGAACAGGGCTTTCTCATAGTCCTGCATGGGGCACAGAACAAGAGGGGGACTGAGAGGTAGGAACTGACCCAAACCCAGGTCTCCAGGCCTGTGTTCTCTGACAGCCAGAGCGCCTAATGATTTGTTTGGTTGGTTTTGGTTTTGGTTTGTATGTTTTGTTGTTTGTTTGTTTGTTTGTTTGTTTGGGTTTTGGTTTTTTGAGACAGGGTTTCTCTGTGTAGCCCTGACTGTCCTGGACTCGATTTGTAGACCAGGCTGGCCTCGAACTCACAGAGATCCTCCTGCCTCTGCCTCCCTGAGCGCTGGGATTACAGGTGTGCGCCACCACTCCTGGCGAAATTGAAATTCTTTAATATATATTTGTTCATTTTATGCATGTGTGTTACTGAGCATGTGCGCTCCGTGAGTTCAGCACTGAGAAGAGCAGCAGTTCTAGTTCTTCCTGGAACTAGAGTTACAGGAAGCTGCGAGCCGCCCAGCTGAACCTAGGTCTTCTGGAGAGCCATGAGTGCTTCTAACTGCCGAGCCAGTTCTCTGACCCTCAGGAAATAATTGAGTTTTAATATGTCCAGAATTTCCCTTGAACACTTCCCCTGAACTTGCAGAAACCCTAGTATTTTCAGTCCCAGGAAATCCTTCTCGAGTGCTTACCCTCAAACACACAAGAGCCCTCCCCTCCACACAATGCCCTTCTTCCCACTCATCAGGAAAACAGAGCTTTGGAGCGCCCTAGTCCACATCTTGTACCTATCTTGGCTTCCTTCCTATGCTCCAGCCGTGACGTAGGAAGCCACCCCCAGGCACAGGCCCCTGCACCCGCATCACCTAGGGCTCTCCGCTCAATCATCTACCACACACAACCACGCCCTGTCGTCTCTCTCCTCCGTTAAAACCTAAAGCAAGGCCGAGTGTGACATTGCTCACCTGGAATCCCAGCACAAAGGCAGTGGAGGCAGGAGAATCAGGAGTTCAAGGCCGGCCTCGGCTACTTGTGGAATCAGAGGCCACTCTGGATACATGAGCCCCTGTCTTTAACCACCCACCCAAACAAACAAACAAATGGGCCAAAATTTTTCATCTTTGAGAAGAATGCTAGGTTTAGGTTAGAAATAGCCCTGTTGTGTAAATTCCAGTTATTCTGACACGTGGAAAGATTTAGTAGCACAGAGTGGCAGCAGTGAGCAACTAGGGACCCACATCTAGACTTGAAAAGGAACATGAGGACTTCACACCTAGTCCAAAGATGTTCAAAATGAGCCTGTGGCTCTTCATTGTATCAAAACCAAACCAAACCAAATCAAACCGAAACAGACAGTAAATTAAAAATGTACTGTCAGGTAGTGGCACACGCCTTTTATCCCAGCACTTGGGAGGCGGAGGCAGAGGCAGGCAGGTGAATCTCTGTGAGTTCAAGGACAGCCTGGTCTGCAGACAGAATTCCAGGACAGCCAGAGCTACATGGAGAAACCCTATCCTGAAAAACCCCATAAACAAACAAATAGGAAAAAGCAGGACACCTATATCTCTAACAGCATCCTTACCCAAGCTGTGTGACCTCATCTCACCAAACTCATTGGGGGTAAAGGAGGGGTCCCACATCTTCTCAAGGAGACACAAAAGATGGGGGAAAACGAGAGGTGACATTCCACAAAGCCCGTAATCTAGTTTCTTCAAAGGGTCATGGAAGATAAAAGGGAGAACCAGAATTTTCTATTCAGAGACATAAAAGACATAATAAGCCACTTGCTGGGTAGCTCTGGTTGTCCCCTGCTCTCTACAAGCCGAGGGTAAGGGAAGTACTTTAGGATAAGCAGAGACATGTGAATCAGACAGGGCATTCAGGACTATTTAGCTGCTATTCTGAGATTCTGATGATGTTGGTGTGCATGAGAAAAGTTATTGTGGTTATGTAAGAAACCATCAGTCGGGGCTGGAGAGATGGCTCGTTGGTTAAGAACACGGGCTGCTCTTCCAGAGGTCCTGAGTTCAATTCCCAGTCAGCCACATGGTGGCTCCCAACCATCTATAATAGGATATGGTGCCCTCTTCAGTCATGAGGGCACACATGCAAACAAGAGTACCATATGTGTAAATAAACAAATTTTTAAAATTTTAAAAAGGGTCCCTGGAAAACAAATATTGTTTTCAGAGTTTAGTGATGTGCATAAAACCACTTCAGAGTGAAAGGTGAGATGCTGGGCTAGAGGGATGGCTCAGCAGGTTAGAGCACTTGCTGCTTTTGCAAAGGACCTGGGTTCAATTCCCAGCGCCCACACTGTAGACCATAACCACCTATAACTCCAGGTCCAGGGAATCCAGTGCCATTGTCTGGTGTCCACAAGCAGTGCACACATGTGGTGCTCAACCACACACACACACACAAAGCACCCATAACGCATAAAATACAAATGAATAGATCTAAAAATTCCTCTACAGCTGGATGTCACACTGGGTTACATGAGACCCACTAAGTCCTGGTGATTGGAGCTTTTGGCCACCAACTCTACCAAAGTTCACACCCCACCCTTCTGCGTGGCTTCCCACCTCCTCACACTCCACTCTCAGCTCTGCGGCCTCCTTTTCTCTTGGCCTGATGCGTATTCCGGGATTTCTGCCTGGCTCACTCCTCTCCCTCTCCATCACTCACTGGCCACTCTCTTAAAAACAGTGTCCCTACCCCTCATCCTGGTATTGCTCACTTTTTTTTTTTTTTTTTTTTGAGACAGGGTTTCTCTGTGCAGCCCTGACTGTCCTGGAACTTACTCAGTCTGTAGAGCAGACTGGCCTCAAACTCAAAGATCTGCCTGCCTCTGCCTCCCAAATTCTGGGATTACAGGCCTGCACCACCACGCCTGGTCCCATTTATCTTCACATGGCACACAATCAACTTCCTGATTGTGTTAACTGTCCTTCTCATCCAGATAGAACGGAGATTCGTAAGAGACCCTGCCATTGTCTTTGTTGCTACAGACACAGAGTCCAACAGTTCATGAGATGTAGTGGATCCTCAGTAAAAAAAAGAGACAGACAGAATTTCTCAGTGTAGTCCTGTCTCTTCTGGAACTTACTCTGTAAACCAGGCTGGCCTGGAATTCAGAGCTCCACCTGCCTCTGCCTCCCCAAGTGCTGGGATTAAAGGCATGCATGCATCACCACCACCTGGCTCTGTAAATATATTTTTTCAAGACTTATTATTTATACAGTAGTCTGCCTGCATGTACACCTGCATGCCAGAAGAGGGCAACAGATCTCACTATAGATGGTTGTGAGCCACCATGTGGTTGCTGGGAATTGAATTTAGGACCTCTGAAAGCAGCCAGTGCTCTTAACCTCCGAGTCATCTATCCAGACCCCTCCGTGAATCTTTAAAAAACTATTTATTTGATATTAAGTGTACTATGTGCCTGAGTGTACGTGTATACACTATGGGCATTCGGCAGCCTGAGGCAGTCAGAAGCATGGGACCCCCTGGAACTGTAGTTACAGACAGTTGTGAGGCACCATATCAGTGCTGGGAAGCAAACTTTGGTCCTCTGCAAGAACAGCAAGGGCTCTTAGCCACCACTGATCCATCTCTCTAGCCCCACCTCAATGTTAGACAAATGAATCTTTACATCCCAGCTGTGAGCCCTACTCATCCTCATTTATACCCAGACAGCTCAGGGTCCAGAGAAGAGAGGTGACTTGCCCACGACCACACAGAAAACACAGATTTCCTAGGTCATCTGAGAGATGGGGGTGTGAACCCTGGCTCTACCTTCCTGGAGTTCTGGTTTCTCGTTCGCCACACCCCTATCTAAAAGGAGGGCTGAGGGCGGTGTCCATCAGGTGTGTGGTTCCTAAGAGGCTCTTGGGGCTTTCTTGTGCTGGACTTGGAGGAAACAGGTGCAGCCCTAGAAACCATGCCAGTTTATGGATGCCAGAGAGTTTGTGGACCTGTACGTGCCACGGAAATGCTCCCTGACCAAACGTGTCACTGGTGCTATGGTCCATCCAGAGATGAATGCAGCTGAGGTTCACCAGAGCACAGGCAGTTCAAAACCTATGCCACCTGTGGGGCCATTTTCTGGATGGGTGAGTCACATACAAATTCTCCAACTGGCTAAGCCTAATGGCATTGTCCCCAAAGAACTTCTGGACAGGTGAAGTCATTGGAATATTTATCCTAGTGAGAATCCTGGCCCACAGAAAAGGCTCTCCAAGAGCCCCAAAGCCCACATCGTCGTGTCCTCCCCTCCCCCGAGGACCCAGACCCACCTTGACCTGGGCATAGAAGCTGCCCAGGCTGCAGCAGACACGGCACTCCAGCATCGTGTCGTCGTTGTTGTGGGCATAGCGCAGGGCCTTCTCAAAGCTCTCGAGGGCCTTCTGGAAGAGGCTGAGGCCCAGGAAAGCATTGCCCATGCTCAGGCTGACCTGCCCCCCAAGCTGGGCACCAGCCCTGGTGCCAGGCAGGCCGAGGCAGGTCTTGCAGTAGGAGATGGTCTTATGGAACTCACACAGCTTCTCATTGCTGCGCGCCAGGTTCAGGTAGCTTTCAAGCAGGAAATCGGCATCCTCCAGCTCCCGGGCGGTGTCAATCTGGACCACAGCAAACTGATCCCGGGGTAGTACGTTGACAACACTCAGCCATGGCTCAACCTGCACCCCCTAGGCGCCACACCCAGCCCCACCTCACGACCAGAACAGCAGACCTCAAAGCTCAGACTCATAGCTTTCACAACCTCAGGTCCATCCTCCCAGCCTCCAGCAACAGCATAGAAACTTTAACCCAAGCTCAGGGTAGACACCACCCTTTCACCTCCAGCCTCAGACCTGGAGTCTCCACCACTGACCAGCCTCACCCTCCAACTTAGAGCCTGTACCTCCAGGCAGCAAACTGCAGGCTAGGAGGTCTGGTTTTGAGATCTCCGGACTCTGCCACCCAATGCCTGAGAACCTGTCTCAGAGGCTCTGATACTGAAGCTAAAGGCCATAGGCCCAAATCTGAAGCTCCCCAGCCACCTAACATTCATGGTCTTCCATGCAGAATCAAAAACGTCAGAACCAGCCACGAGCCCATGAGACACAGAGGATTCTCAGACAGCTTCAAGGGGGGCTGGGAGTTGGAAGCCACACAGCACAGCCCTGTTACCAGCCCGTTCACAGCACCCAGGCCCTCCCACAGCACCCAGGAAGGGTACATCTACCTTTAGCATCTCTTTGTAGCGGCCCATCTCTGAGTGTGCTGTTACCAGACAGCCCAGCACCCGGAAGCGGCCCACGAGATCAGAGCCCTTCTCCAGCACCTTCATCCACAGCTGCAGTGCCTTCTCTGTCTGGTTAGACTGGTACAGCTGCAGTCCTTTTTCGATCTGTTGCTTTGTCTGGTCCTGCCCCATCCTCCCACAGCCTGGCCACTCAGGGAAAGACTGTGCTTGGCTAGGTGTCTCTAGACCCTCATGGTGCTGGACCCACAGTGCCGCTGCCCACTGATCTCTGGGAGGGAAAAGCAACACCAGGCAGGAGCTGAGCGGGGCCTGGATGGTCAGCGGGCGCCACCCTGGAAACGAGGCTGGTTCAGCCCCTGTCTGCAGCTGTCCCTGCCAGTTGGGGCCACGTGGCTTCTGAGGAATGTCAGCAGCAAGGTCACGAGGGTGTCTGCCGTACCCACCCAAAGCTGAATGGTGGCTTCCCCAGGGACACAGGCACTCTGCCGCCTGGGAACCTGTTTGGATGCCCCTTTGACACTCTGGCAATGGCCTTGATGCCACTGGCAGGTTAAGCTCTCCTGAAGCCTTGCCAAAGGCTGTCTGCCAGGATGTAGGCAAGCGTCAGGACAGGGGTTTTGACAGCAGGAAAGAAGCAGGGAGGACATTGGGCATACAGGCATCAGGGAGGTGGGGAGTTTTGGATTTGTATGTGTATGTAGATAGATGATAGATAGATAGATAGATAGATAGATAGATAGATAGATAGATAGATAGATAGATAGATAGATAGAAGACAGACAGAAAAATAGATACAGGTAGGTAGATAGAAAGAAGAGAGACAGGGCTTCTCTGTGTAGTCTTGGCTGTTCTGGAGCTTGTTTTGTAGGCCAAGCTAGCCTCAAACTCAGATATCTGCTGGCCTTTGTTTCCCAAGTGCTGGGACTAAAGGTGTGAGACCCCCACACCTGGCTAATGGAATAGCTTTTATCCCCCCCCCCCAAGATGGGGTTTCTCTGTGTAGCCCTCTCTGTCCTGGAACTCACTCTGGACACCAGGATGGCCAGAGGTCAGCCTGCCTCAGCCTCCGAGTGCCGGGATTAAAGGCATGAGCCACCGTCACCAGCTTCACCTCTGCTTTTCTTCCCAGTTCCTTCTCCCCCTTTTATTCTTGCAATTTATCCATCACTTAGACACTTAACCTGGGCACATGCCCACACTGTTCGTAACACCTCACCTTAGACAGCTGTCGCAGAGGCCTGGTTTCCCCCTAACTCCCTAAGCAAGTCACACAGCTCTCTGGGCCTGCTTCTCCCTCTACACAGAGCACAGTTAAACTCTCACAGCCGTGTGGTGGCTCACACACAACATGGCACAGGGCGTGCCAGCCTGGCTCTACTGGCTTGTATTTCTGTATTAGCTGTGTGAGCACAGAGAATTTGGGCAAATCACTAGCCCTGAGAAAGAAGGGCGAACAACTAGTTCTAACCCCCAGCTCAGAACGCAGCTGTATGTGCGTTTAAAGAGCTAATTAAGGTGGGCTGTGATTCAGCTCTAAGAGATCCGGCACCCTCACACATGCAGGCAAAACACGAATGCACATAGAATAAAAATAAATCCTTTTTTAAAAGCTTAAGGCAAAGTGAGGGGTGACAGGGCTGTATGGCCTTTTCTGGGGACATATGACACGTCTTTTTACCAGGCAGACTTGGGTGGAACTGTTTTTTAAAAAGCGGATTTATCTGGGTGTGGTGGTACACATCTTTAATGCTGGCCCTTGAGCGGCAGAAGTAGGTCTACATAGCAAGTTCTACATATTGAAACCCTGTCTCAAAAACATGCGCACTCGTGTGTGTGTGTGTGTGTGTGTGTGTGTGTGTGTGTGTGTGTGTGTGTATGCATGCATACTCAGGGGCCTGCAGAGGTCAGAAGAGGACATCAGGTCCACAGGAATTAAGAGTTACAGACAGTTCCATGTGGGTACAGGGTATTGAACTGGGGTCCTCTGGAAGAGCAGCCAGGGCTCTTAACTGCTGAGCCATCTCTGCAGCCCAGGAACTGTTTCTTTGGTGTACACCCTAGTTTACCCTGATTAACCAGTGAGTTCACTGGGGTTATTTACAGTAGCGTGGGTGATTTAGGTAGCTCCGTTACCGTAACACCCACTCAGTTTAGGGATGACCTCCAGAAGCTGCATCACTGGATTCCTTGCCCAGGTTGCAGGCAGCCCCACTGAAGGGTCTCCCCAGCCCCCAACGATTACATTTGGGTGGGAGACCTCGAGTTGAAACTTCACGGTGAGTTCTAACATCCCTTAGCAGTCCTCACAAAAAGTGGGGATATTTGTTGTTTTTTTCTGGGGAGATGCAATCACCTTGGCACCCTACACGGGCCACCAGTAACTGACCAATGAAGGGATTCCAGCTCAAGTGACTTTCTTACGATTACTTACAGAATCAGGGTATCTCAAAGGCAGCTTTATCACTGGACAGCCCACCCCGGCATCAGTGAGGAACTCCACATCCCTGGAGCCTCCTCCAAGCACAGTCCTTCCAACCAAGTCTCAGCTCACTCCCCCCACCCGCTCACAAGGCTACATAACCTTACAGTTTCCTTGCCTTCTTGAGTCCTGAGTTTCTCCTCTCCCTCCCCGAGGGAGGGCATTACAACTTGGAGAAAATAGCTTCATAATATTGGAGTGGGCCTTAATACCTATTTGGGTAAGTGATCAGGACTTAGACAGGGAGACCATGTGAAGCTGAGTATGCGGTACACACTGATAATCCCAATACTTGGAGGCAGGAGGCTCAGTTCAAGGACATCTTCGAGTACAAAGGAGTTTAAGGCCAACCCAGGCTACAAGAGACTGTCTCAAAACAAAACATGAACTCAGGCGGGACCAATTCTTGAACATGTTCAATTTCTAGCTTCTGAAACTGAGTGCCCACAAGTTTACCCACTTGGGACGCTTAGACCATGTACTGGCTCAGCCACGGCCTTCAGTGACTGGCTCCTTCAGGTAGCAGAACTTCTCCTTAGGAGGGTATCAACACTTACAAAAGATTCGTTTTCATTACTGTGTATTGTTTTTGTGTGTACACAAGGTGGGGTATGTACCTATGAATGTAGGATTGGTGGGGGTGGCAAGTGCTGAATGCCCCTGGGGCTGGGGTTATAGGCAGTTGTAAGCTGCCCCATGAACATGGGTCTTCTTCAAGAGCTGTGCATACCATTTATATATTTGCTTATTTCTATGAGACAGGCTGTCTCTACATAGCCCTGACTGGCCTCATGGAGACCCGGTTTGTCATGCCTGGCAGCAACTGGCAACTGCCAGCTAAGGCACCTCTCCACACCTGTTTTCTTTTTAGGGTCAGTGTGATGGTTACTTCTGTCACCTTGCCAAAACTTAGAATTACTGGGATAGGGATCACTTTGGCTTCTATCGTCCCACGTTCCTCGGTATTGGGAGGGCTAGAGCTGCTGCAATACCCTGTGATAAAGATTGGATGATGATTTTTAGACCCCCTCCTTTTTTAGGGGGGGAGGGGAGGAAGGTTTCAAGACAGGACCTCTCTGTATAGCCTTGGCCATCCTAGACTTGCTTTGTAGACCAGGCTGGCCTTCACCACGCCTGCCTCTTCCTTCCTCCCACGTGCTAGAATCACAGGTGTGCGTGCCCGGGCCCCTCCTTTCTCTAAAAATGTTGTGAGCCACCTTGTGGTGGCCGAGAATTGAACTCAGGACCTTTGGAAGTGCAACCAGTGCTCTTAACCTGAGACGTCTCTCTAGCCTCCCCACCCCCACCCCTTTTTGGAACAGTGTCCCAAGTAGCCCAGAATGGCCTCACACTTGCTGCGGAGCCAAGAATGACCTTGGCACTTCTGACCCTCTGGCCTCTAACAACCTAGAGTATTAAGATTATAGGCAAGCGCTTTCACATGCAGTTTCTGCAATGCTGGGAACAAAACAGGCAGATACTTTACTTATCTGGGCCACATCCCTAGCTCATTTCGAGACCAGTTTCCTCACGTAGCCCTGGTGGCTGTGAACAATGTGAGTCTCCTGCCTTGGCCTATGTCTTGAAATTATGTAGGTGTCCTCCCTGCCCCCTTTCGTTTTTTAAGACAGAGTTTTCCTGTGCAGCCTAGCAGTCTTGAACTTGCTTTGTAGACTGGGCTGACCTCAAACTCAGAGAGCCACCTGCCTTTACCTCCCAGAATGATGGGATTACAGGCATGCACCACCATGCCCGGCTTGCCTTGCAACTAGGGTTATGGATGCTTGTGAACTACCATGTGGATGCTGGGACTCGAACCTGGGTCTCCACAAGAACAAAAACTACTCTTGGCCATTAAGCTATCTCTCCAGACCCAGAGGAGTTTTCTTTAAAGTGAAGCACCCATCTAGAGCAATCTGGTCACTGACTAATAATGCAAATATTCTATGCTGTGGTGGTTTGGATTAGAAAGGCCCCCATAAGTTCATATATTTGAATGCTTGGTCCCTAGTTGGTGGAACTGTTTTAAGATTAGAAGAGGCCTTGTTGGAGAACATGTATGTAGGCTTACAGGTTTCAAAAGCCCACAGTAGGCCCAGTCTCTTGCTCTCAGCCTCCAACTTGTAGGTAAGATGTAAGCTCTCAGCTAGTACTCCAGCACTGTAACTGCCAGCCTGCTGCCACCCTTCCCACCACGATGATCATGGATTCACTAAGCAAATATCCAATTCCATAATTTCTTTTACAAACTGCCTTGGTTATGTTTATGCTCTTCACAGCAATAGAATAGCCAAGACACTGTAATGTAACAGCAGTGTGCCAAACGTAGCTTTTGAATACTTGAAATGTTAAGACACAACTGAAAAAACAATTTTACTTTAAAAAAATATTATTTGGGGCAGAGAAGATTGGCTTAGCAGTTCCAAGAAGTTGCTGTTCATACAGAGGGCATAGGTTCAGTTCCTGGTACACACTTGCAGGCTCACCATCTTTAACTCCAGTTTCAGGCACTCCAACCCCTCTTCTGAGCTTCAAAGCCACCAAGCACACACACGGGTACACATACATATATGTAGGCAAAACATTCATGCATACAATACACACAAATCTTAATTTGTTTTTGTTCCTGTGTAGCCCAGGCTGCCCTGGCACTCAGAGATGTGCCTTCTCTGCCTCTGGAGTGCTGAGATTAAAGGTGTGTGCCACCACTGTCCAGTAAATCTTAAGTCTTTCAAGATTTTATGTACATTGGTATTCTGCCTGCTTGTGTCCATGTGTGTCAGGTCCCCTGGAAGTGGAGTTATATACAATTGTCAAGTGCTGAGAATTGAACCTGGGTCTTTTGAAACAGTGCCCTGAAAGGCTGAGCCATCTCTCCAGCCCTGACTTTTTTTCTAATCATCTTTACAGAAGCTAATGTGGAAAATGTTTGAGACAATATAGGTCTAGAGCACTGGTTCTCAACCTGTGACAGTATCAAAATAGCTGTCATGAAGTAGCAATAAAATAATTTTATGCTTGGAGGTCATCACAGCATGAGGAAGGCTGAGAACGACTGGTTGAGGGAGTTTCAGGATGAGGCAAATAACAGCAGAGGCAAAGGGAAGGTAGGATGGGAAGAGGTAGTAGACGGGTACGGTGATTTTGAAACAAGATGGAAGACAAGTTCAAAGGGCTGGGAAGGGCCCAGATGGTTGGTAGGATATTTATTGAGTAGATTTTGAGAAAGAAAAAAGCCTCAGATAAAAGGTCCCATCCTCTGTGATTACATTTACTGAAAATAACCAGAGTACACAAAATGACTGAAAGCACATTAGTCTCTCTGGTTTTTGGTGCTGCAGGCCTTTAATCCTAGCACTTGTGAGGGACAGGCAGGTAGATCTGAGTTCATGGCCAGCCTGGTCTATAGATCTGGATGGCACCAAGACAACCAGGGCCACATAGAGAAACCCTGTCTTGGGGAAAACACACACACACACACACACACACACACACACACACACACACACACA